ATATAATAGGTTATATCAAACGTAAATCAACTATATATTAGATGTATTTCAAATATATATTAGACATATATCAGAGTTATATCAGTGGTAAATCAAACAATAGTAAATAATATAATCATATAAGAAGTTATATCAGTAGATATCATGATTATATTAGAGTTATACCAGTAGTAAATCAGATACATATGAAGTATATATCACAAATATATCAGTGTTATATCAGTGGTAAATCAATACATGGTAAATCATAGAATTATATAATAAGTTATATGAGTAGATATCATAGTTATTTCAGTCCTATATTAGTTGTATATCAGTGGTAAATTAAAAGTATATCAAGTATATATCAGTGGAAATCAGAGGGAAATAGAATTTCAAACCGGTTGAAAATGGTTGAAAGGGAAGTTACCACAAAATGACATGCATGGAAAATGAGAAAGAAAGGGGTAAGTTACTGTGAAGGAGAAATCGAAGGGGAGGGGAAGGAGATGAATGTGTAATCAATTAGAAATCAGTAAGAAATCATAAGTAAATAGAAACCTAGAGTTCTTTTGGGCTTCCACCAACGGGCCTGTATTTATGGTTTTTTTGGGCTGTAGGGTATATTTGGAATTTACATAGTGGGCCTCCGTTTTTTTACCAAAAAACTGCTATATTTGAAAAACCCAAATCTTGTTGTTATTTTGCTTATTTTCCTAACTTTTTTGCCATATCTCAAGTTGCCCCTTTTATTAACTACTTTCAGTACATATCCAAATTTATAGTGGTCCTATTCTAGCTGTGGTTGTACGGTTGAAGGGATAACCTCAATTGTTTCTATCAATCATTCATCTACGTGGGGAAACATAAAAAATATATAGGTGATTCGAAATGATTTAGGGGACGTGAGAAGAATACAAATCAGGACTCTCTTTCATAATTTTTATATTTCTTGTTTCTCATTTTTCTATAAAAAAAATAAAATTAATTTTGATAATTTTTTCTTGTATTCAGGTCTTTTTTTATTGAAATAAAAGAACATGTTTGGTACCAATTTCTTGATTTTTTTATCGATTTTTTTCTGAAAAATGAAAATTTTATAGGAAAATAATCTTTAATATTAAATATTTGAGAATGATAAAATATGAAAACCTAGATCTAAATAAAGTCGGCCTTTTATCCATCATTTACCGAGTTGTCATCCACTGAGACACCGAACTGGTTGCACAATTTGACCCCATGACTTGATATGTTATTATCCGACTAGCGGTTAAGTTACCATCCACAGGAGATACCAAAATAGTTGCACGATTTAACCATATGACATGACATGTTCTCATCCCACTCACGGTTAAATTGTCATCCACCAGAGACACCAAACTGGTTGTACGATCCGGCCCCATGGCATGACATATTCTCATCTCACTGTTTATTAAGTTGTCATCCACTAGAGATACCGAGTTAATTATACCGTGACATGTTCTCATCTCGTTGGTGGTCATGCAATCCCACCCATAAAAATCTCGTCATTCACCTTCAGGGATCATACCACTTATCTAGCTTGTGTTTGCTTATAATACCTTTTGTCAAATTTTGTCCCGCAGATGGTGTCAATTGTTGACGCAGAAATTTGGCATTTTGGGATTCACTAAATTTGCACCAATATTCGAGAATGAAAATGGGTTCAACAGACCTTCAAAATAGAAGGGTTACATATTGGTGTGGTGCTAGCCACCTACACTCCGATGCTTAAGTTAGAATCAGATTTTTACTTGAAGTACAGCAATAGGTAGGATTTTTGTTGTGTACCTTTATTTTGAGGTTTCTCAATTTATTTATAGATATCAGAACCCTAAGGTTGATAGGATACGCTCTCTTTCTCAAGTAGTTTGGGCTTTAGTGATAGCACCATCGTGGGCCGAAAAATACAAGAGAATGGAAGCCGGCCTGTCATTCGATTTATTGGCGGAGCACGAAAATCACGCATGGGCACTGGTCAGCTGAGATCGAATCCTGGCCAAGACCTGGTCGGTTGGGACCTAGTTGGCCATGACTTTGTTGGGCCTTGGGTATTGTTACTCCTCCGACCTGGTCACGCTTGAGCCTGATTGGACCTTGGAGTACTTGTGATATGTGATGTTGTTTGCCTATTGGATTTAACTTCGTCTTTTCATAACACCAAGAGCAAAAAAATTTTTATTTTTTTTAACTTCTAAATACCATGACAAGATTTATTTTGTTTTTATAATGTAGAAAAAACATTATAAAATGATAATAAAGGCCATACGCAAATGAAAGACTATATTTAGAAAAGTAAAAAGGGAGTAAATCTTAAACGTTTTCTACAAATGAATCATATATAACAGTTGCATCATATTTTTTCTATTAATTAATTCAATTGTTGAGAAGTTAATAATCTTTGACTAATTTATCATATATAATATCTTTATTTACCAATTATAAAAATCCTCATTCATTCAGATTTTCCCTTACGTGCGCTTGGGAAGATTAAGCTACTTCATTCGGCATTCAGCTTATCATCTCTTTGGTGCACTGAAATACTTGTAATACTTGTAACTAAACCCTAAGCTCAACAATTTATTGAAGGCGTGACCGTCAAACGTATTCTTCGATATCTCAAAGATATTCCTACCATCGCACTGTTTATTCAGCTAAGTGGACATCAAACCTATTGAGATGTCGACGAAGTGACTAGTAGAAATAACTTTTTCGGGATAAAACTTTCTCAATGCAAATTTTTTGATCAAGAAGTTCATCAGTATATGTCCACCGAGAGAGCCCCGTGTCGAGAAAAACAAATCAAAGCATCGGGATGGATGGTCGTTGCTGACGTTTCCAAAAGCGTCGGAAAAAGTTTTTCTTTCTCTCTTTTTTAAATACATAATTTACATTTACTTTATTACAACCTATATCTTTAGAAAGGTAGAAATACTAAACAAAATGTGTTCTTAAACATTTATTTTTACATTAAGGTATCTAAGAAGAGTTACATCATAACTAAATAAGTACACAATCTCTTTAATCCTTCAATATATGTGGAGCCTTTAAGTAATCCGGACCACTTTTATCCAACCAAAATGCAATCCAAACCAGTTAAAAAAAAGTTCTTATGGCACCCTCGGCAATCAAATTTCTTAGCTTCAGAACTCCACCAAAACATTTTTTAAACAAGATTTCAACCCATAAAAATGGACCATAATAAACATCAACCAGGAATAATAAATTTCTATATTTCATTTACGGGTGTAATCGGGTCGGGGCAAGGACAAAACATGAAAATCCGAATCGACCTGAATATGTTCGTCTAGACCCGAATCTAGTTGGGTTTGGTTGGGCCATTTTGTGTCGGGTCTTTTCCTTTTTTCCTGCTCTTCTTCTTCCTAAGGTTTGTATATAAAATTCTAAAAGATCTGCCGACCGCAAATATAAAATAGGAAGACGAAACAAAAAACCCAAAATGATGCCAATCGTTTTATTCACTGCGGTTCTTCGATTTAGTTCGCACCCCTAATTTCATTGATGAAATGAAAATATCTTGACCTCATAGATGGTATAAAAGCGAGAGAGAACCAAACAACCAATTCCCGAAAAGATATTGAACATTTAATTAACATTATTCTTAAACCAAGCACTAATTACCTTCGTATATACATCATTTGGGATATTGAGATAACCACGACCTCTCGTTTGCGTGGAGGTTAAGGAGTAAGGTGCGTCAACCGCTTTAGTTTCCCACCATTCATATGGTTAACAATAAATAACACCCTTTCTATATTTAGTTCCCTCCCCTATACATAAAAGGCTTGAGCTTTACAAGTTCCTAACACGCTCAAAGATCATTTTTGTTATGTGCCTGATGTGATTCATAACTTTATCCAAAAAACCAAAAACCAAAACCAAAACAGAGAAACGAGCTGAGCAATATGCATCTTGGCAGATGGCAAATGGTTGTGTTGCTTGTCTCGTCGGCTCTGATGGTGGTGGGGGCACAGCAATTACTGCCAATGGTAGACGTGGAGCCAAAAAGTAGAGATGACAAACGTGTGTGGCGCGTTTATGTGGCCAATGGGTTGAGCAGTGAGATTCTATTTCTACACTGCAAGTCCAAAGACACTGACATTGGGGAGCGCAACTTGGACCTTGGAGCTCAAATCCAGTGGAAATTTCAAGTCAACTTTTGGGGGACGACGTTGTATTGGTGTTTCATGCGAAAGGGTAGCGACTCGGTCTCGTTAGATGTCTTCTGGGTTGAACGTAAGACCTCGTGGCTCCGCCCGAGGTGCGCTCCTCAAACAATGAGTTGTATTTGGATAGCCAAAGATGACGGAATTTACATAAGAAACCTTTCTGAAAATGTGGATGAGGTGATTCATAAATGGAACGAGTGAAACTTAATTAATTATCTCCACTTTGTTGTGTATTGGTTTGTGAAGAATCAGCAATAAATGAAAATTATATTTACATATATAATATTACACTATTTTTCCTCATTTTATCATTCGTCTTTTTTGTTAGAGAAAGAAATTAACATGTCTTTGGGTACCTCTTTCATTTGTAGTATCTTGATCTTCTCCAGATTTTAAAATTGAAAAAAAAAGTAAGTTTTTCCTGAAAATTGATTTTAAACATTATTGTGCCTATTATGAATTTTTAAATAGATGCCCACTAACCCTTGCTTAGTATCCAATTTTGAGGTGTCTCAAAATCCATGCACCATGTGTTGAAATCATAATGCCCTATGTGTCTCAATTTTAGACATTATTAGTGTCATGTAAATCACACCACATGCTTATCCATGGCCTATAAATAAGGTCAATGTGGTGCTCAATCAGAGAGATTTTGTGAGAAATTAGTGGTGAGAATTTGTGAGAAATTAATGAGAAATTTGGTGAGAAATCAAGTTTGAAAATTGGTGGGAAATGTCATTTTGAATTTTAAATTTTCTTTATTATTTGAATTGTTTTGTTTATTTTATTTTCCCGACGTTGCCTCGTTTCGTTCCTCAATTTTACAACAGTACCTTTTTTTTCCGATTGTTTAATTATATTTATCATACATTTTATAAGTAAAAAAGGTGATGACAATCTTTATTTATGTTATTGGAAAACGAAAAATAAGATCCTAAATTTAAGTCTATTTTAATAATGTTTTTCCTTTTGAAGCTAGGAACAAGGAAAAAAAATATGCATATGTTTCACAATAATTGAAAACATAAAAGGGTCTGGAAATTTATTTTTCGTTGAATCTATTGTTTTGAGATCACCAACGTACAAATTTCTAAATAAAACTCAAAACGAGAAACAAGAAAAGCATATGAGTCATTTGTTTCTTCTTCTCATTTCCAAATTTTTTTTTTCAAAACCATAAATAAAAGCATTATTTTATCATTCTAATTCACAAATAAAATTCATAAAAATATAACATTAAAATAATGAATATTTAATTTGAAAAATCACATTTCATATAAAAAATTCTTTTAGATTTAAAATTTGTTGCTCGAGGAACAATGAATGATTAACGTAAACATGTTTTTGTTTCCTTTTTTATAAAAGAATAAAAAATAAAAATGACAAAGAACCAATAAATGACTGGTAATCATTTATTGCTGTCCATTTCATAACATTTCCCTTCCCGATTAATTTCTAGTTTTATTGAGAAATTTAAGCTCCGACCATTAATTATGTTTTTTTTCTGTAAATATGAAACGAGACAGAAAAATAATTGTCAAGTCGCGTATGTTTCTAAAAACTAAAAACAGAAAAAATTGAGAACATTATTAGATGGATACTTCATAAGCGATTGGGTCCTTATTACATGTTTTCAATTGTTGTGAAACATATGCATGACTTTTCTTCCTTGCTTAAAAACTTAATCATTTTTCAGATAGTAACTTCAAATTTTTTTTCTATTTAAAAATTTGGAGAAAATAAACTAGAAATAGGTACCAAAAATATGGCAATTTCTTTGTTAAGAATAAAAATAATAAAAAATAATAATTATCGTTTTGGTTTCTCTCTATTACACATGACAAAAAACAGCTATACAAGAATATGTGGAGCTCGACATGTCTGGAAGCACAGGAGAACATTCGCCATGTTGCAAAAAAGAAAAGGGCCGATCAAAGTAAGAAATAATAATTTTCATTTATTGCTTTATTCATAAACCAGTACGATAAAGATCATGGATAATTAGTTTCACTCGTTCCACTTATGAATCAACTCATCAACATTTTGAGTAAGATTTCTAATGTAAATTCCGTCATCTTTGACTATCCAAATACAAGTTAATGTCTCATCGCCACCGCACCTTTCTCGGAGCCATGAACTACGTTTTTCAACCCAGAAGACATCAAACGACGCTTTGGCCCCTGACTTTGAAGCGAAGCACCAAAACAGCGTCGTACCCCAAAAGTTTGGCTCAAAGTGCCATCCGATATTAGCTCCAAGGTCTAAGAAGTGGCCCCCAATATTAGTGTCTTTGGACTTGCAGCTCACATAGCAAATATCACCGCTCAGCCCATTCGCCACATGAATCAGGAATCTGGTAGAAGAGTGGTCCACGTGTTGCACCTCCACCACCGGATATAATTGCTTTTGATCCGCCGCCGCCGCCACCACCAGAGCCGACCAGACAAGCAACACAATCACATGCCTTCCTGTCGGATCCATGCCTCTCATTTCTCTGTCTTGTTTTTTGGACAAATAATAAATAGATGGGAGACACTGCTACTAAATTTAGCAATTGGTGATAATATTAGTTAACAATGTGAGTTTTAGTTTTGAGAAGAATGTGGGGATGGTTTGATTAATAAAGCCGGTTGACACGCACTTCTTAACCTCCACCGCAAACGAGAGAGTGGCAAAAACAACCCAGATTTGGAATAAAGTGGTTACTTAAGACTTTGTCACGCATATAATGGACATCGATATCAATATGTTCGGTGCATACTAGTTAGTGATTAGGTTGGATTGTTAGTTCGCAAACTATCGCACCAAATTAATTTCTTGAAGAAGTTGGCGAACCCAAATGATTTTAGGGGAAACAATAGACCAGACCTTGATATTCTAACCTAGTGTTGGATGGAACAATAGCATTTTGTTTCTAATTTATTGTTTGTACGTAGCAATAGACTTGCTGTAATGATCTGACTTTTAGACTTAGACTATTGAGACTGTTACTACCTGTATGCTATTTATATTTAAAACTTTTAGAAAAATATTAAATAATAAATTACACTTTCATAAAATAATAAATGTAATTTTATTTGCAAGTCCAAAGAAATCAATATTGGAGAGAGCACAATCATCATGCATGCATCTTGAAACATGATGTGATAATTAATTTGGAAGCTAATGTCTTGAGTCTCTAACATAGTGTATAGTGTATGTTCTATGCACGCACCAAAAATATTGAGATCAATGTACATTATGTCCGTGAACACGTCCTTAATAACCACCTTGTGGTTTGATATATTCTCTCGTAACTGATTGCCTCACCAAAGTTCTTATCCGCTCTTAGTTGAAACATTTTTGCATTCTTCGGATTGTTTTTTCCACCCTCTCGTTTGGCGAGGGTAGCTTTACTTATCAACCATCTCCACATTCCTCTCAATAAACTAAAATTCATATTGTTAAAGTTAATATCCTTTCTAAATTTAGTACTGTCTGATCCCATCTATTTATTATTTGTCCAAAAAGAAAGGACAGAGAAATGAGAGCCATGGATTCGACAGGAAGGCATATGATTGTGTTGGTGGTCGGCTCTGGTGGTGGTGGCTGCGGCTCAACAACAATTATCCCCTGTTGTGGATGTGATAACTAAAGACAAGGATTCTGACGTATGGCACATTCCTATGGTGAATGGGCTGAATCAAATTTTTTTTGTGAGCTGCAAGTCTAAAGACACTGATATTGGGGCCACTTCTTAGACCTTGGAGCAGAAATCGTATGGCACTTTGAGCCAAACACTTGGGGAACGACACTATATTGGTGCTATGCTTCAAAGTCTCGTTTGATGTCTTCTGGACTGAAAGTAAACATCATTGGCTCGCTCGCGGCGGCCACCAAGTAAAAAGTCTTATTTGGATAGTCAAAGATGACAAAATTTACTTAAGAAACCTTGCTTCTAATGTCGATGAGTTGATTCATAAGTGAAATGAATGAACACTTCACTAAACTCATCTTTTATATTGTATCGGTTTATGAATAAAGTAATAAATGAAAATTAAACTTTATTATTTCTTGGAAAAAACTTTGCTCCTTATCCTCACGTCTTTATAATAAGAAGATAAATGTTGACTATTATTTATTTATTTTTTTCATTATTTCATTAGAACTCATAACCTCGTCAGAGTTTTTCTTAGTTTTTTTTGGTAAGTTGTTTTACATTCTTCTCTCCCTACAACTTCTCATCTCCTTCTATTCTCTATTCTTTCTCTCTCTCCAAAATCTCACTAATATTTTGGTCATCTGAAGCTAAAGGTAAAAGGGAAAAATGGTTACGAACAAAAGATTGCAGAAATCTCTATCTAAAATTAGAAGAAAATAAGGTATAGAATGAAACAATAATATAAGACAGAAAAAAGAAAAAAAAACAGTGGAGAAATATTTGTGAAGATGTATGTTTTATTCTGTAAACTAAAAAGAAAAATAGATGAGAAAGAGGAAAAAAAAAGGAGTTTACACTTTCCGGTACTATTTCAAGTTAGGGGAAAAAAATAAAGACAAAGAAAAGAGAAAAGAAGGAGTTGAGAAGTCAAGGGGGAGAGGGAAAAAAAAAAGAGATGAATCATCCAACCAATTTAAGTATAAAAAAATAATTAAAAAAGATTTTGAGAATTTTAACCAAATAATTAAAGAAACACTAAAAGCACTTGTGTTTTTATCACAGGACACGTAGCCCCTTATCCACTCATAGTTTGAACATTTGCGACTCCAAATTTGGGTTGTTTTTTTTGCGGTGGTGCGCATCAGGTGGGTTTAGTTATCAACCGCCGTCTCCACATTCTTCTCAAATTACTAAATCTCTTTCTAAATTTAGTAGTGTGTGGCCTCTATTTATTAGTTGTGGGAAAGGCAAGACAGAGAAATGAGAGCCATGGATCCGACAGGAAGGCATATGATTGTGTTGCTTGTCTGGTCGGCTCTGGTGGTGGCGGCGGCGGGTCAAGACCAATTATCGCCGGTGGTGGATGTGATAAGAAAAGGCAGGCAGTCTAACGTATTCCACCTTCATATGGTGAATGGGCTCGATGAAATTATCTTTGTGCGCTGCAAGTCCAAAGACACTAATATTGGGGACCATTTCTTAGACCTTGGAGCTGAAATCGTGTGGCACTTTGAGGCCAACATTTGGGGAACCACACTGTATTGGTGCTATGCTGCGAAGGCCGGGGCCAAAGTCTCGTTCGATGTCTTCTGGTCTGAAAAAACTCAGTGGCTCGGTGAGAGGTGCGGCGGTCGCGGAGTGTTAAATCTTATTTGGATTGCAAAAGAAGACGGAATTTACTTAAGAAACCTTACTAAGAATGTCGATGAGCTTATTCATAAGTGGAATGAGTGAACGCTTTCACTAAGCCCATCTTTGTTTGTTTTTCTTTTTAAACAAGGAACACCAGAAGGAATAAAAGTTATCAAATATGCATGTGTATTTCTCACAACAATTGAAAACATATATAATAAGGGCCAAAAGACTTATATTGAAGGATGGTTTGATAATTATGTTCTCATTTTTTCTTTCTTATTTCTTGTTAATAGTTTTTGTAAAACATATAAGCTTTTGGAAGTTACGTTCTTTTTTGTTTCTTATCTTTAAGATTTTTTTTATTAATTTTTTATTTGTCTTTTTCTTCCAAAATTTCTATACAATTTTGAAAATATTTTCCAATAAAAATGAGAAACAAAAATCATAAATAGCAGTCAAACGCTCAAGTTTCTTAATGCCCTTTGTTTCTTATTCTCGTTTTTCTTTTAAAAAACATAAATAAATAAAAGCATTGTTTTATCATTTTTGAGAATATATTCTTTTTCAAATCTAAAAATTTAGAGAACAAGAAAAAAAATAAATTAGTACAAAGCTATTTATAAGTGTGTCTTATTATTATTATTTTTTAGTACAACATGTACTTTGGCGTGTTTTTATTTATTAAAAAAGAGAAAACGATAAAGAAGAAGCATAACCCTCATCAACAACGGAAACAACCCCTAAAAAATCTATTTCGCATATGTAGAATTTTGAGAAATTAGTGACAGATTTTTCACTTACACTTTGGTGGGGGAGGTGATCAGTCTTCCCACTTATAGGTGTTCATGGCCAGCTAGGTGGGCACAATAGAGCTCCTCGTCGTATGGGATTTGGAGCAATATCGAAAAAGTGGAGCTAGGGTTTACGTTCTCTTCGATTGAGAAATTGAGGGGTTTTTCAAAGTGGAGGAACTCAGGTTTCTGCTCTCCTGTTGTCGTTGTTTAGGGAGAGGTGTGGTGCAGGCCGAGAGAGATGGGAGAGAGAGAAAGGCGAAAAAAGGAGGAGAGAGAGAGTAAAAATAAATTTTATTTTAGTTTATTTCAAAAAATTTTAAAATTGAAATTTATGGGTTCAATCTTTTCACTCCTAAAAGTTGAAGTTGAGGGTTAAATTTTTACCATTGAAAGTTCGAGGGTGTAATTATAACAAACATCATAGTTTAGGGATGATATATACAATTTGCCCAAAAAGATAATAATAAAAAATAAAATCTAACTCACAAACAAAAAATATACATTGAAGTTTTACCATATATAATAATAATAATAATAATAATAATAATAATAATAAAAATGGTCAACTTGAGATATGACAAAAAAAATTTTAAAAATAAGTAAAATAGTAATGATGTTTTGGTTTTTCAAATATAACCCTTTTTTTCAAAAAAAAAAAAACGGAGGCCCACATATTAAATTTTGACAACATTTCTGTGCAGGCCCAAACCCAAGCCTAGAAAATCCTATGTTTTGATATCCCTCTAATAATTTCCATCTGATATACTGCTGATATTTGTGTTTGATATACCACTGATATAATTGTCTGATATACTACTGATATAAGTGTCTGATATACTACTGATGTCATAGTCTCATATACGTCTTATATGAATGTTTCATATCAATATGCATGTCTGATATAAATGTGATATACTATATTGATATGAGTGTGTGATATACTACTGATATGTATATATAATATACACGTGATATACTATTTATATGAGAGTGTCTGATATACTACTAAAATGAGTGTTTGATATACTACTAAAATGATTGTTTGATATACTATTGATATGACTGTCTCATACACTAGAAGAAATCACAAAATGAGAGTTAGGGACTTGGAAGTTTTAGAGGACTTTCGGCGACGAAACGAATTTCGTCGCCAAAGGCCAACAAAAGTCGTTAGAAGAATTTTTGGCGACAAATTTATATTTCGTCGCCATATGTCCACTTTCAGCGACGATTTCTAGATATCGTCGCCGAAAGGTTTGCCTTTTGGCGACGACTTTTCGCCGAACCCTGAAGTCACCTAAACCCTTGACTGAGCGCGCATCACCAAGCTTGGACCTTCAGCGATGAAATTTGCTTTCGTCGCGGAAAGGGCCAACTTTTACGGAAAATTTTATCCCTAAAAGGGTCAACTTTCAACGACGAAATCAAATTTCGTCACTGAAAGGGCACACTTTCGACGACGCTGAAAGAATTTCGTCGCCGAAAGTGTGCCATTTCAGCAACAAAATCCACTTTTGTTGCTGAAAGTTGACCCTTTTAGCGACGAAAGCAAATTTCGTCGCTGAAGGCATGTTTTGGCAACGAAATATATTTTGTCGCCAAAGATTTCGTCGTTGAAACTTGAAATTCTTGTAGTGACTATTGATGTGATAGTCTGATTTACATATAATATAATGCTGATTTTACTTTAACAGAAAAATAAAATATGGTATTCTGATGCAAAAGTGCAAAAATATTTAAAATTAAAATTAATAGATATCATTCTCAAAAAGCTAACGTCAACCCAAATAGAAATCTTTAGAAGTAGACCATTTGAACACTTTCTGTCATTTAATATTAGGAGATGCTCACTAATGATTAGTGCATCTAATTCGCTGAATATCTAAAAAGAGTCCACAAGATGCACTGATATTCTCTGATATACTTCCGATATACATCTAATGTACCCCTGATATACATATGATGTACTCCTGATATACATATGATGTATCTCTGAATCTTGTCAATACTACGGTATTCAAGCACCAGTACGAGCATAGCTCAGTGTTAATTGACATATATATCCAACCAAGAGATTATGAATTCGATAATCCATCTCACATGTTGTACTAAAAAACGAGCATCAAACAATAATTTTATGAGTAATGCATTTCGAATATTTGAAGATAGTTGAGCGGTGATAATAGTACAAGCGGTGATACATTTTGAGTGGTGTTGCAGGTGGTTGATGATGTTCTTAATTTTTCTTCCCCTGGGTTGAATTTGATATCAAATAATTTAAAACTAAAATCCCAACAAATTCGAGCTACCTGAGTAAAAATTTGAAGGAAAAATCAGAATATGATTTCAAATTCTAAATTTTATGTTCAATCCAAACTAAAATATAATTTCAAATTCATTAAATTTTATGTTCAATCCAAAATACAAAAGTAATTTCAAATTCATTAATTATGATTCATCCAAAGTAACAAATATACATCTATTTCCTACCATGGTGGGTACTACAACCCGTCATGTAAGCTCCACAACACGTTCTTGAGAACTACATCCAAGAAGCATAATTCCTTCGTTATTTTTCTCCTCCTTATGCATCATGGTGTAATTATTATTTTCATCCTCATTTCTCGAAGCCCCAAAAATCTACTTGAAAATGACCATATCTTTTGCAATTAAAACATTACATGTGAGAAAAATTACTAGGATTGCTTCCTTGGTTTCTACCAAAATCTCTTCCTCTTCTGCATCTTCTTCCTCCAGATGAAGAATAATTTTTTGGTTTGTTTTTATAATTTGCACCATTTCTATTATCATAGTTTCTTCCACCTCCTCATCCACCAGGACCGCCAAGTCTTCCGCAAGAATCACCTTTGAAGGAGGTTTGCATTTGATAAGCTTTTCCTCAGAAGAAGTAACATCATGTTGCTTTATATCAATCTATTTTTATAACGAAAATGTAAATAAATCTTTTGACTCTTCAATTGCAACAAAAAACATGCTCAAAACTTCATGGCATTCTTCTAAGAATTTTTTCAACAACACTTTCATCGCTCTTTTCTTCTCCATTTGATCTCAAATTGTTGACGATCGCACGAATACGCGATTAAAAAAAATCTTCAACACTTTCAATCTCTTTCATCTTTATGGAATCAAATTTAAGATCGTCTTAGAACTTGTATCTTACCATCTTTATCCTATCCTCTCTTTTATAGGTAGATTGCAAAATTTCCAAAGTCGCCTCTGAATTTTGGAAGTTGAGGTTGCAACACATTACCATTTATGTTGACATTTGTGGAACTAGCTCGATCTGGTACCACATGTTGGAAATGAAGTATGCCCTCACAACACAATTCAAAATCGTAGCTTAACTTGATTTCTCCTACTCACAACAAATTGGAGAAACAACAAGAACTTGTATTTTGGTAAATGATTGTGATTCCCTTGACTTGATTGTATTTTGGTAAATGATTGTGATTCCCTTTGACTTGATTTCAAATAACAAATCCTACGCATAGTTATACTAGTAGAAAAATACATCAAAATACATCAATATTAAATATCAATACATATGACTCTTTACTAATACATGAACATTCATGCATGTATTAGTGTAGGTATGTAATTGATTATAATTAATATATTTGAAATATGTCTAGATTAATTTCAACATTAACAGAACAATTTATAAAACCATTTTCTAAACCGTTTTACTTTTGAAATCTCAATTAAGACCAATATGTAGATACCAAATCGAGGGATTGTTTCACCAATAATAATACAAAGGTTTCCGTTTAAAGTAATTATAAACTATCTTCACTTGGATAGATTAGATCTCTATTCAGAATCCATTTATATGAATTAAATTTACCTAACTCATCAAGTTAAACTTTTGGGTTGAGGGGTGATTTATTTATTCTTTATATGACATCAAAGCAAAACGTCCTATGTTCGAATCCTTCCATATTGTTGTTTTCCCCTGTATACAATGATTTCCACTTGAGCCTATGGTCCTAAAGAGTTGCCTTCCTTTCTGTCCTACCAAGTTTCATCGTCCTTAGGCAAATAGGAAACATATTATAAAAATACATATATGATGCGAATGAACGTCAAATATAGCCTACTTAATTAATAAAGACGATTTTGATACTTTTATTTTATCTTGTTGGGGCTCAAGGAATGATAGAAATAGGAAAATTTCAATATAATAGGATAGAAATCCCGAATGTTAATTAGCCAATTCAAGAACCTAAAAACATTTGTGTTGGATTTGCAAGGTGATTGCAAACAAAGTCCCACATTGACTAGGGAAGGGAATAATGATCATGTGTATATAAGATAAGACAATTATCTCCATTAGTACGAAGCTTTTTGAGTGAAATCAAAAGTAAAGTCAAAAATCAAGCGGACAATATCAAGTGTACGTGTGAAAAATCCCTAGCAACAAAAAATTAACAATCATAATAATATTAATAAAGGACAAAGTCGGTGTTGAATATTTTACTGGAACCAAGAAAGATAGTGTATGAGCTGTCCAAATATGTAACCTCCTACGTATGATAACACAAATGCTGCAACCCCAATTGAAAGATGGATGCTTGCAGTTTTGACATACGCCAGCCAGTTTGTTGGCTTTTGAATGTGAGCTTTCAGAATAGCAAAGAATGCAGTGCATGAAAGTGAAGCTCCTGCAGCAGTTAAGATCTTCAAATCCTTGTTTCCACTCGAGAATCCATAAACCAACGGAGCCAATAAGCCAGAAAATAGGAATGACAGGAAAGCAATGGTAAAATGGACCAAATAACGCAATTTTTCTCTCAATACTTCTTTGTAGTGACTCCCTTCCGGTCCAGCTCTACTACATCTCCTTTCTTCCCTTTTCTTCACAAGTCCAGTTGATAGCTGTAAAATTAATTACTTGGTAAATTTAAGATAGTGATAGGCACATATATATTTGATTCGATCTTAAGAGGAAAAGTAGTTACTTACATTATGTCTAACAATGAAGAGTCCGGTGATCAAATTTGTTAATGCTAAAGTCGTTATATCCCCTGAAATTATGTAATTCAGTCAGATATCACATAAATGATGAGGCAAAAAGGGATGAAAGAAATTGAGATTTATTACCATCAGAAATATCAGCAGTTACTGCAGAAGTTACAATGCCTAAACTTGTAATTGATTCAATTAAACCACCGAGTACTATGGATCTTTGAATTTCCCACCTTCCAGCGCTACTACTTTGTTGGAAACTTGTAACGGCTCCGGCTGTTCAAAAAAAAGTTCACAAGAAAAAAAAATCAAAGAGGCAGAGAATTAATTTTTAAGGATATGTATATATAAAATAAAAACTTGTCAAAGATGTCACATTGATAAAATAAGGGACTTAATAAGTGTTTATCAATATTCATGGGTTCTATTCAAATCCAATTGACGAGGGGTACCCTAGACTTATTATAACACTTGTTATAATAGCCCATCTCAAAAATGGGATCCGGCCAAGATTGATAGGTCAAAAGAGCCACGATCACATGAGCTACTCCTCTCATAGTCAATTGATTTTGAGATGGAGCCCTATCAATATTAATATTAGGGGTGAAAGGATCCGAACCGAACCGACGAACCGAAATCGGTTCGGTTATATTAATTATCGGTTCGATTCAGTCCAGTCCAAGAAAACCGACTATTTTATAATTTTTTTTTTATTTACCCTAATTCTTCCTCCCTCTCCTTCTTTGCACAGCCGCCCTTACCCACCCCCTCTCTTCCTGTAACCTCTCCTCTCCCTACACCATTTCCTGAAGCCATTTCCTCCCACTCTACCTAAAGCC